AAGTCCCACCCGAGTAAGCTTGTGATGTTTTTTCGCCAGTTCTCGGACAAGCACTGCGCATACAGTGCTTATTAATATACGTTGGGTACGGGCAAACCGTTATATATGATCCATATCTCGTTAAATCACAGTCAAATTTCAGCAGCTTTATATTATTCTTTCCAGTATTGTGGATTCTTTCTTGTATCTCCTCACCTTCTCTGAGTTCTTCTCTCATTGTGTCATTTTCCTCCTGCATGACAATCTTTTGTTTGTTCAGCACTGCAACATACAGTTCCATGTCTGAGCGAGATGTCTTCTCAGCTTCCAGAACGCTAGATAAAGCACGCACCTGAAAGTCAATTTGGCAACAGATATTTAATATGATCATTGATTTGTTATCCTGCCGGAAACCTGGGATATCTTTTGAGAAAAAGCCCATTTGTAAAATTGAAATTTCCAACAGAGTTACGATTAAAAAACTTCCTTTGTAGCCTATGACTTAAAATTTACATCCAAATAACCACTAATATGAAATGATTTAGACCAATAGTGTTACTATTATGAACTAAAAATCAAATTAGAATGAATGATAATAAAACAACCAAATTATTGTTTCACAAAGGGATTGGCATGTGAAATGAGAAATAAATGATGTACCTAAGTCTGTCATGAATGCAACTCTGTCAACCCTTCAAGATCCATCCAAATGCATCAAAAGGTTTTTGCAGGATTAAACAAGCACAACTTGGCCACTGTAACTTTACACTAGACTTGACTTGAAGTAATGGGTTACAGAACAGTGGTCTTTAAAAAGAACCTAGAAAAAAAAACTAGTGAACGGATGGTGAAAAATTATTGACAAGGATTAGAAATAAGTTCCACAATCATGCTTACAATGAAAGAATTCATGGAAATTCAATTACCACAGTCCTAAGTAACTGTGTTTACTTAACCAATCTTAAGTTTCAATAGCAAAACATGAATAATTCATGATACAAAAACAATATATACCTTTTCATCTAAGTCAGCTGCAGTGTTGAGTGTAGTTTCTGGGGGCGTGGCTGGACTTTGAGCTTTGTCTACGGTAGTACTCCCAAGAGTATCTAAACCATACTTCTGAATTCATAACACAAGTTGGAAAAATATGACTCAAGGGAATAGCATGAATATTTGTTAATTCTGAACGGGACCTGGAGACAAAAGGAGACAACAATTTAGCTAATGCCTGGAAAACTGCCTTTAACTAAAAATGAAATGTGCTATTTGTGTTAAATATCAGGATTTTTTTCAAACCTACCCTTATCTTGTGTACCAATGCTTTCTTCTCAATGTCAGCATTCTGAAGCTTCTCCTTCAATGACGCAATCTCCTTCTCCAGAGGAACAACTACAGAACGTAGTATTTCAGCATCTTTCTGTGCCTGTCATACAATGGCAGAAATTCTTGAAGACTCAGTTCGCAACAAGTAGTTTATGCTTTCTGTTCTACGAAAAGACAACTGATGATATAGGCTAACTGACCATATGAGAATCTTGTGATGGAAACACAACAAAATATGGGATATCGAACCTGATCTGACATGTTTACGCAGACTGAAGTGGGGTTAGTCATCACACTGTCTAAAAAGAGAGCTTAATATTACCCTGTGCTTGGCCCTTGCCTTCTGAGTGATGAGTAAAGAGAATACAACACATTAATAGTACACTGTACATCAACTACAAGTTCAAATTTATTTCATACCTTTAACATACTCTTCTCTAAATCTTCTTCTTCCTTGCTCAGTGTGCGTTTCTGCTGAGATTGAGGTTTCTGCTGAGATGGAGGTTTCTGCTGAGATGGAGGTTGCTGTTGAGGTGGAGTATGCTGTTCTTGTGAAGCATGATGCTTGTCATCTCTTGATGATGATGGAGAGTTAGATCCAGTCAGGTTACGTAAAGACCGTGTCATGCTGGAAAATACGCTGTCTCTGTGTTTAAAGATACACCAGATTATTACTGTTATTATACTCATCACGATGATCTACGATTAAGTGTTCAGCAATTATTGAGTACAAGGTTTCAATGCATGGAAAACTTTCATTCAAAAATAGAATGCTCTATTTTGGACAGCAGTGCGCATCCACAGCAAACACGCTGGAGAATTAGGCACACAAAACAGACTCTTCAAAGTCATAACATGCAGGACAATACATGTAGTCTAATATGGGTGTTTCACAAAAGTGTGCCTCCAATAGTTTGCAAATCACAATGCGCGAAATTTGTCGACCCAATGCGCGTTTGGAAAGGGTCGACAAATTTCACAAATTGTGATTGGCCAACACGTTGCAAACTCTGGGAGATGCGCTGTTGTGAATCACCCGTATTTGGCAACTAGCCATTACTATGGTGGCACAAAGCTTGTGGACAGGTGGTACCCCTGTGTTACATGCATCTTCGACCAACAGGGTGTTAGGAGTTGCCACATGCACGCGCGCATCAAGCTGAAGAATGTGAATGGGGTGTCACTGCAGTTATGGTGTCTGATCGGATTAGTCTATGGCAGACACAAGTCATCAGATGCAAGTGACAAAAATGCGTATTGGAAACGGATACTGAATACAACAATATTTTCCAGGCAATTTTGCTGAAATGGGTTAACACAGAAAACTTGTTCTAGTTGTTACATAAAATTGAATTCAGCAAGGCTTTAAGTACTCTTCGGGTTCCACATGGCAAATACATGTATACTAGCCAAAGAAGTACCTAAATGTCTAGTTTTGAAGCCTCTTACTTTTTATTCACAATCATTTGTGATTGACCAATTGGTTCATGAGACTATGGTCAAAGTTTGTAAATATTTGCAATTTGGCTACAGTGGTAACTGACTAGATACATCTTATTGGATTCAGCAAAGATTTACATGCACACTTAATGTTACAAACATCTAATAATGAAGCGTCAACAAATAATTCTGAGATATCCAACTCACTTTTCTAATCCTGGCCCTTGGTTTTTCTCAGCCATCATCTGCTGCATGCTTTGTAATTCTGTATTTAACAGCTCATTAGCTGCTAAGAGTTTCTGTCGCTCCTGCTGGTAAGTGAGTGCAGTCTCCTCTGTTGTCTGGGCAACCGCATCTTTATAAAAGCACATGGTTATACATGGAATAGAACATCATGATCAGAAAACATGAATTTGCCATTGAACTGCTAAAGCCAATATAACGAACATTTACTTGACATGAAAACCCAAAGGGGCACTCAGATCAAAGAAAGAATTGCAATGAATCCTTTAATTGGTTGAATCAGTCAACACCAATTGAGCCCAGGTATGCATTAACTAAAGAAAATTGCAGAAATCACCGTTAAAATACATATACATTATTAATGATGGCTTGATACAAAATTCAATTCATTTTCTCCAAATAACAAACTCATTTTCACAACAGTGATTTCTGTGAACAATACTGATTTTTTTTTTCCCTCATAAAAAAGTAAAGAAGGCTCTTTCACCCTACCCTCAAGATCATTTAAAATCCATCAGGTGGTTTGTGAGGATTTTGCTGGATTCAAGAAAGTTGACCTCTGCCATTACTATTTCATGCAAGGTTTACATCCCCTCAATAAAGCCAGAGGGTTTATATGCAATGTTGGATTATGGAGGATTTAGGCAGATATTTCCTAAGCATGCTTAGCTCTGGAGTCACGCTTTATTCCACACACCTTTTAGTATGGTTTGTAGCGTTCCCACCTCCTCCTTCCATTTCTTCTTAACCTCATCCATTTCCTCTCTATAGGAAGACTCTACCATTGCTGCAACAGTTTTCAATTCATCTAACTCAGTCTCCTTTGCATCCCGCTGTATACGCATCTTTTCTGCTTCTTTTATCAGCTCCTCTGATGACAAAAAATGTGAACCAACTTGTAACACTTCTAAACAACCAACATAATGTTATTTACCTGGCAGTTGCCAATAAGATTCAGTGTTGGAAAAATATACCTGTGAACCTTCTCAGCATGTGCAAGACAAGTGACATGCGAGTCCTTATTTCTTTATGTCTGTCATGTCTGTATACTTTGTGTAATATTGGAACATATTTCAAAACTGGTGCAGAAAAACAAAGAAAAAACAAAAGTAAAATCTCTTCATTATCAACAGCCAACAAAAGAATCGTGTACAAATGAAAACTAAGGCAACACACATACCTTCTCTTGAGAGGAATATTTCTTTGAACTTGGCCCTTTTGTGGGCAAAATCTGCCTCTTGTGTCTTTCTTTCATAGAGTACACTACGAAGATTAGTCTCCAATTCAGACACACGCTGTCGAAGGGCATTGACATCATCTACAGGGTACATATTTCAGTTTTAAAAAGGACAGAAAAGTGATTAAAGCCAAATAAAGGATCTTGCCCTGAAATCAATTGGAGACACCTTGTTATTGTAAATTAATTCTTACTTATACAGCAGCAGGCCACAAACTCATCCTACTGTTTACTGCCCATTTTAATCAGTGGATTGAAATATAAAAACATCAAGATGTAAAGCAAATGTGGCAATTAATTTAGTTATTATTAACACATGAAAACTGGCAGTACCATAAACTGAAAGTTCATCTCTCAGAAACTGAAATACGCTTGGTATTGCATGATCATACACACATGTACTGTATGCCAAACAAAGGCGATTGTTATTAAATTTGTTGTGGTTTGTTTCACTATTTGTTTCTTTGTTGCAATGCCTGTCTTTTTAGTTTTGTTTTTTAATCTTAATTGTTTCATTGGACCAGCTGATTGTTATATGTTTTGGTTCATTTTTGGTTTGATTCTTTATGAAAGATATACATGTACGTAAAAGATTTTTTTTTCGACAAGCATTTACGAAAGTCAGAGGTAACGAATCATACACATGCACATTTGTAAGCACCAAGCAATGAAACACAATAAAGAAATGCACTGATGTAGACCTACATGTACATGCATAACAGATACGTACATACATGTACATACAGTATAGACATGTTTTGTGGACCCCAAAAAACAAAAATAGCAAAGTAAATGACAAACAATTCAACTTTTTTTGTATTTATGATCATCACATTAGACCACATTTTTAAATGAAAAATATCCTCTTTAAAATGAAGGCCTGGGCCTCACACTTTTTAGCAGACTAACAATATAATGAATGTACATGCACCCTACTAAATTAAATGCCTCAAGTGTGGAATACATGTATCTGCAATGCAAACGTCATTTATGGCACCAGTTCACGTAGCCTTTACAATGTAGATATGAGCATAAATGAGAAGGTAGTCAGGGATACTGTATATCTGGACTGGCAGTGGTACAGAAAGGTACAGTGCATGTGTTTATACGTCAGGTATACTCCGTTCCTATATCATCGTGGTAACTCTATTATTGCGGCATCAGAAATTTTAAGTTTTGCATTGCCAGAGAATTCTCAATCAGCAATATTCATTCTGTTATTTAATAACTTATGGCCTGAGGATTAGTTCTATTAAAACAGAGTGAAAGAATTTGCAATTTTTTCTAGGTTTTGATAATGTTTAATAAAAGATGTAATTTTTCCAAAATATGCAAATATGGTATTTCCCTCCTAAATAGAACTTTCCTGGACATGTTTTTGCTATCAGATGGCTATTAAGTCACTGTAGGAAAGAATTACTGGTGTCCGTATATAGAACTCTTCCCCTGATTTTGTTCTGAGCTGAGTCTGTATCCAAATTTGTTGATAGAGTGGGTTGGGGGAGGGGTGTTAGCATAGTGGTTCTTTCCTCACTTTGCACAAATGAGGTCCGGGTTCGAGTCCTGGCTTGGCCCAGGCTTTAAGTGCAATTGGTTTCCAGTCCATACTCGCTCTCGCAGGTTTTCTCTGGGTACTCCGGTTTCCTCCTGCCTCCAAAACTGGACCTTCTATCTCAATAGGGACCCCATTGGAAATAAGTTGCAAAACTTTCATGGGCTATCCCAGGTATTACATGTACCTAATTGTGAGGTAATAATGAATAAATCCAAATATCCAGTCCAATCCAACCCATCCTACTGCTCCTACATGAACACTGTCAACCATACATACATGCAGGCCTACTTCGAGAACTCAAAGTCAATACTCCGTCATACTCCATGTGACTTAGAGCCAACACAATTTACATGGTGTCGTAACACTATGGGGTTTTGGAATCGGACTTTGTGGTGACTGATTCACAGATGTAAGAAAGCTATTAAATCAAATTTTCCCCTGTCAGCATACATAATTAATCTATACCTCTCAAAAAGCGGGATAACAAAGTTTCAGCCTGAAACTTTCAGAGCACGAGACCGAGTACGTTTGAGAAAAAAAGAGATTTTTGCTCACCAATGTCTCATTTCCATCCGTTGACTGTTGCTCCTTCCATGCCATTCGTGTTTATCAAACTGTGCACGAGTCAAGCCCACCAATGACCGCGCTTGCTTCGCATCTTGGTTTGACCATTTTCGGTGGCGGAGGGGAATTTTTAAGTCTCGTGATCTGTCACGGCTACATACACATAACGCTCTGCTCCTTGCAGACAAAGGTGTTACACCCTAAATTAGGGTTTGTACTACGCCATAAATTAGAGTGTTGTAATTCCGTAATAGGGCGTTATAACTCCGTATTAGGGCGTTATAACGCCGTAAAATAAAAAAGTGTATTCCTGGCAGAGATCATGCAGCCACCGTAGAACTAAGACGCAGAGCAAGCGCTGCCATTGGTGGGCTTGACGCACGCACAGTCTGACAAACAGGAACGGTATGAGTGGAGCAACAATCAACAGGCATGATGGGTGGAAGCGAGAAATTGGTGAGCAAAAATCTCATTTTTTAAAAAATACTCTGTCTTATGCTCTGAAACTTTGTTATCCCACTTTTTAACAGGTAGGCTAGGCCCTATAGCCTTACAGGCCTAAATTAATCAGATTTGCTGACGGGAAAATTTGATTTAGCTTTCTTACACCTGAGAATCATTTCACCACAAAAATTCGATTACAAAACCCGGTAGCATTACGACACCATGTAAACTGTGCTGGCTCGAAGTCACACGAAGTATGACTGAGAAGTGACTTTGACTTTGAGTTCTCGAAGTATAGGCCTACGTACGGTAAGGCTACCTAGGAGCCTGCATGATTCATGACGTAGGCTACGACTTGTTGTTGTCATTCATGTCATTCCTTCATATCAGGATCACACAGCATCAATTTCATATACAAACCTTCGATGCTATTACCAGTAGCCCGCGGTACACTGTTGACCTGATTCTCCATGCCTCCCTCAGCAAAATTTGCAAGACCTACACGAAACGGAAGAAACTCATGATTTGAAGGCGGTGCTCTTCGTTCGAACGATAAGTCCACATAACTAGTCGGCCATTTTATGTGTTTTTTTTTAACACCAGTCCAGTCTCGTTCAGTCGTTTGTTTTTAATCTTATTTCTAGAACGCAAAAATACGTTGACCTTTCCGGAAAAAAAACTTCCTTCCATTTTTACATAAATGAAAATATAATGGCTGTACACCTGGAGACGGATATTTTGTAAGTTGAAGACGGTGCCAACATATGAAGTCTAAACTGAAAACCTTTATGTGAGGACAAACGTTTACAGGCAGCACAGTTCTACAAAGCTGGAGCTTAGCGCGCGTGTGCCTTGTGCGCTCCCGGTCCCCTTAACTTAACTTGTGCATTGATTTCAAACCAATATATGTTGTTTGTAACAGGTTATTTGACACCACATGTGCCCAGCAGTAAGCATGGGTAAGCGGAGGGACGTCAGTCAACCAAGTTCTCAAATTGACATCACTGAAGAGGATTTTGCGAAAGGTATTTATGATAAAGTGAAAATGAAGTGGAAATAAAGTGAATTGAATCAAGGAGCTGTTACGCCCCAACTATAGCATCAGTCCCAGCTATAGTTGGGCCCGTCCCAACTATAGTGCTACCATGGAGGAAGGAAAACTCCATGGTGCTACAGTTTGGCCGGCCCAGCTACAGCAGACGGGTCTAGTATGCATGATGTGACCAGCATGTGCCAAAGTCATATTGTTTACAAGTGTCATGTCGTTGGTCATAGGGCTTAACTAGGGCTAGAAGTGCCACATTTTAGTCAAGTGCGAGACACATTGACTCGGATAATGTTTAGACATTTTCCACAGACATTGGTCAACAATAGTTGGGCCAACTAAGTTGGGACTGTCCCAACTATAGTTGCGACTTATGCTATAATTGGGGCGTAACAGAGCTAAAAAAGTATAGCAAAGTATTTGCAACAGGATATAGGCACAGCTGATCGAATGGTCTAAGAACCAGACCTTCAAGTGCACTCTAATGCTACACAGTGCTAGACGAAGACACAAGAAAAGTAACGGGCCGTGGCGTGTAGCAAAAAAGTGCTACACCATAGACTTGTGCACAAACCGGGTGCTACACAGTGCTACATGGGAAAATGAAAAAGGAAGGGGTGCTAGAAGGAAGACCGTGTGGATTCGGCCGTCTCATTTCTGGCTGCATATGATTCCTAGTGCGTCTATGTGCACTCTTAATTTGTATTCAAGCATGTCAAGGTTGAACATGTGGCAAATTTACTAACATGACTACCTCTATGCTTCAACAACTTCCCTGCAACTGTCAATTCAAACCACATGATTAATGATCAACTTTCTTTTTACATTCCAAAATCACAGAACTTTTAAGATTTTCAGAACTTTGGGGAATTTCTTAGGAATTTACCAGGATCCCCATTTATTCTGTGACTGTAGCCTTTCAATCATGGCATTGTTAACTTGCATTTAACTTGGTGTTATTTGGGTTTACCCCCAGAAATATGGGGTCCGACGTCCTCCCACGAGCAGGGCAGACGTTGGACCCCACAGTTCTGGGGGTTATTTGGGTTTAAAAATAATTTTTATTTATTTCTAAAATGGCTTTAATATCTGATCCTTCAAATTCTCCAAGTACACATGGTTGTGAAACTACATGCTTGAAAATAAATATGCATTAAATGCTTCCGTACTCATTGATCAATAAATATGTTGATTTCTCTGTAGAATCCTCAAGCAGTGCTCATAAAAAACACAAGAAGCACAAACATAAGAAACACCACAAGCACAAGAGAGAACATCATGATAGCTCTAGCCCACTACACAGCCCAGAACCGGTACTCTCCTCACAGCCTATCATGAGTGATCCATCTGGCAAACCACAACTGAAGCTGAAGATCAAGATTGGTGGACAGACACTGGGGACAAAAAGGTGATGGATTCACCGTTAGAGGGAAATCACAACCATCCATTTACATTGTCACCCAGAAAGAAATTGGAAGGCCTGACTTTTTGATCCTAACAGAATCTTTCTGCCAGGATCTCTTGAGAAAAATTTTGCTAGGATAAACATGTCAGGTACAGTGTACATGCACTCCAACTTTTGTGGTTTGTATATTCCAGGTCACTTCAGTCAGCAACAAATTTTCATAGTTGATTTATACATCACATACATTGCATTGAACATTAACCCTTTCTTTGTGAATACAGTTGATGACTATGATTTACAGTATGGTACAGCTGACCCTACAGCATATAGTAAAGTCATCTACAACATGACTTTGCCACAATCTGCCCGACGTACCTGTAGCCTGTGCCAATGTGATAGTTGAACCAAAAACACAGTGGTACATGTAGTTTACATGTGAAATAGTGATGTGCTAATATTTCTTGTATGTTTGCTGACAGCTGATTTGGCTCATGTTACACCCAAGATTTACCAGCGAAAGGGTTTGAAAGCTGTGAGTAGAGCTAAATTCGCATTTGAGTTGCTTTTTTTGTCTTTTTTTTTACCCTGCACAGTTATGACAGAGTTGTCTCTCCACGTTTCTCAAGTGAAGATGAAGATGATGAAGATGAGGATGAAGACATTGAAGAAGCAGAAGATGATGATGAAGACATTGAAGACATTGAAGATGAACAAGTTGATGTTGTCCAAGATGACGAAGATGAAGGCGAAAGATTTACCCCATGGCAAGGTATCTCTAGAGGCCCTGTGTCAAAGTTCAGTTGCACTGATGTTAGATATCAACCCTTATTGTTTGAACTCTTACAAACCCAGGTATATCACTGTGGTCTTCACTTGGCGAGGAAAGAGACCTTGGAATGTTTATGTAGGGTTTTAGTGAATGTGTCGGAGGAACACGTCAGTATGTGTGTGTATAGGGAGATGCATATGTGTGCACCATGTAGGTTGGTGCAAATTATTCAGGATTATAGCCTGCTGTTGAAATAGACACCAGACTTACCCATCAATCCCAGCTACCACAGTATCTCAACATGATAAAGTGAGCATACACGTAAGTTAGTTTTTCAAATTTCTGTAAGTTGCATTTTCAGTAGTCAAATTATATATCCGTAACATGGAGAGTAAAAGGGTTGTCTTTCAGATCAGACACCTCCAGCATCCAACCATGGATCCCCTTCAGAGAACCCTGATGAAGAAGAAGCATGGCTTGATGCCTTGGAGGCAGGGCAGCTGGATGATTATGGTGAAATCAAGAGGGTCAAAGATCCTTCCTTACTGACAGCAAGACAGGTAAGAAATTATCAATTTATTTCACTTCAGTCTAATCTTAATACACCATGGTCAGGTCTTTATTCTCGTGATTCTCAGTGGTTAGATTCAATTTGTCAAATCTCTGGTACAATTTCATTAAGAACCCTGTGGAAATCGTGATTGCTAGTTCTGCTAATTCCAGCTTTCTCATATCACTCTTGTAAGGTCTCAAATCACTCTTATCAAGTACCAAGTTCCTTTCAAGTCTTAGTTCCTTCTGGTCCGTATTCAAGTTGTATCTTAACTTGAGACACGAATCTTAGAGTTGTGGGTCTAGTGAATCCTCAACATGGTGTCTCTTACCTTTCTGTGATTTTTTTAATCACGTAAAAACTGTTTATCTTGACAAAGCATGATGATCCATGGTTGAATATGATCTGATCCATCAGAGAGCAATGCTTCATGGAATGTCTGCGGAAGAAGAAAAGCAACTTCTGCAACTCCCCAGTGGAGCAAAGCCTGCAGAGATGACTGTGGAGATGTTGGAGAAGAAAGCTGAGAAGGCTCAGAAACGACGAGCTCAGGCGCACAAGAAAGTAGAAGAACATAAGGTATTTCATGAATGAAACCACATACATGTACATCTGAAATAAATGTCATTTTGCTTCGTCATGTGAAGAGGACTGATGCAGGAATATTATCAACATGACGGTCCATGTTTTATTCTGCACAAAAAGATGTGTACCAATGTGATGTCTATTTGTGGGGTACAAATATTATTTGCAATTGACATTCAGTACCAAGTTTGGTAAGGCAATTTGCCAAAATGCCGGTCATACTACTTGAAAAATTCTTTCAAAATTGAACGGTTTAGCTTGAGATTAACTCAAAGTTACTCATTAGTTGAAGTAAATTTAACCGCAAGAACATCTTATTGTCGTCATGTATGTCCCTTAAATTTGGTAGGGATTTTTGGATGTTATGTAGTGAACATACATTTACTTTGTTAATCTGTTCATCTTTTGTAATTTCCTTTGATTTCATGTCCAACAGAAACAAACCATTGCAAGACTGCTGAAGAAGCAAGACAGCAAGCTAAAAGGAATAAAGGTACATATCATTACAGACTGTCAATCAATCTCTAAGTACATGTATGTACAGTACAGAAATCTGTGACAAATACATGCAGCAACAGTGGTAGAAAAAAATTATTAAAATTTTGGGCTCATATCTAAATTTTGGTAGCAGTGCCGCACTCTTGACAATCTTTCTGCATTTCAGTTTGGTTTGGCAAAAAGCATAGCATAGTCTCAGATGAATATATCTGCAAACAGAACTCTCTTTGATAATTTCTAATAATGATGTTCCTTTGTTTACAATAAAGGCCAAATCAAGGCGTGAAGCAGATAAACCTCGAATCCGCTACGTCAATAACATCAACAGAGTGACCATGTCATTCCCTCCTGGTATGCAGTTCCCACTGGACAAGCAAGTGGCTCAGTAAGTCATGAAATGATGAAAATAAAAGAGCCCTGTGAGATATTGAGTTCTCTGGACAATCTAAGATGAATACGCATAACTTGGCAATGGATAGGAACATGTCTTACCAGTGGAATTCACTTCCCATAGGCTTATGTATTACAACAAGCTATAGGGAAATCAGTTTAGCAAAGGTAAAACTGAAAGCAGGCATCAGATTGGATAGCTTTTTCACATCTGACCAGACCATATTTTACATTGCTTTTGTCGTTTGATATCTCTGCAGACCCCCCAAGCCAGTGGTTCTATGTGGAGCAGCAGGCTGCAGTAATCCTAAGAAGTACTCTTGTTCCAAGACTGGTGTCCCTCTATGCAGCTTAGAGTGCTACAAGAAGAATTTACTAGTACTCCCAGTCACTTGTGCATCATGAGGGAAATCACAGTCCTGTGTGCCTGACAGGACTTAGTCCAAGGTGCAACTCCTGTTCAGGATCTTTACATTGCACTGGAAAAACATCACAGGGATAAATAAACTTGCTTATCTGTGAACTCAACACTTTTTAGACACATTAATCTAATAAATTAGACCAGACAGGATTTCATGATTATGACTACTGTTGGCAGAACACATTTGAAGCAAGTGAACGGAGAGGACATGTGGTAAAGCTCTAGGCCAGTGATCTGAGTGTCTGAGGGTCACATCCAGCGAAGCACAAGGGGATCATGTTTTGGCCTAGCAATCATTACGAACGCTGTTCTATTTGGATACAGAAGCCATGACAGTGATCCAGCCTCAAGTAGCTTAACCCTCATTTTGAAGATTCTAGCAATTTAATAATTTGGGTTCAAAAGCTTGAAGTATGTTGTCCAAAATAGAGTAGCAAAGTGTGCAGAATAAAACCTTTGAAGAGATAATCTAGGAAGAGGGGCAGCAGTGGGAAGAACAGGCAGTTCAGTGGTATCCTTCATAACAGGGTTGGGGATTGAAGGAAATGGGGAGGGGTGGTAAATCCAAGATAATTGTAGAGAGTTTTGTTTTGGCGATGTACATATACATATGTGAATAAAATGACAACATTGGTAAAAATACAATGGCATCTATGCGTCTTTAAGAACGTGAGGACATAAAGCGATAACTTGTAAGATTTATATACCACTTTTATTTCAAAATTTATTAAACTTAAACAACAGCTAAAGCTTAAAATTAAATAATGTAACAAAAGTTTTGCATTTGAAGCAAATGAATCATAACATTTGGATACCTATCAACTACTGAATTTTGACAAATCATTGATGCACATGGAATTTCAACAAAGTCTAACAGATTTACATAGATATTAACACAACAATTACAGGTACATGTATGAACATAAAACTTTCAAAATATAAATATATAACTTCACTTACAAACATGGAAAATTACTACAAAGAGGGAACCAAAGTTGCCTGATTACTTGAAATCCATTTCCATATAGATGTAAATGTTTCATTTCATGCACTGATAAGCAGGTTAATAGACCTGTTCACCTTTTGTTGAATCTGATCAGCTTGTGCTCTGTGCTTTTCAATTCACAAAGCAATAATTTAGGATTGCAGGAAAATTCTTTATAGAGCTCTAATATACATGTAACCTGGGAACTCGTGATGTCAATCCAGTCATAAGGTAATCTCAGATCACAATGTACAGGAAGTCACAGGTCTGCAAATTGAAGGAAAACATTGAAAAACTCAAATTAATCTTTCAGTCAATGAAAAGAGCACAGTTTAATTTAATCTGATATTCTGAGTGAATAAGGTGGGTGCTGGACATTTAATTCCAACAGCTGCTGAAATAAACAGGTCATTATTAAAGGGGGACATGGCATGTACCTGAATGAACAATAACTATATGTAATTATATAGGGTTGGAATTAGAAATGTGCCATTACTGAAGTAAAAGACCATCTCATTATTTTAAAACAAAAACTGTTCAGCAAAGCAGTACACATATTTGCTGCACACACATGGCTGGATGTGCTGAAGACAATTCACTACCACACAAGACATCCAAGTGACCGACATAAGCTGGGATTTTCTATCAACAATGGCCAATCTCACTAATTGGTTGTACAACATAATTATTTGATGAGAAAAGCAAACCTGTGCTCAGTGGGAACTCATTACCCGTGTTTTTATGCTGTACATTAATTGAGACAGGCTTTCAGCTGAGTTTTACTTTCAATCTGCTAAGTTGATTTCCTGTCTCTTAGCAGTTCCATGAATTCCAGCTTAAGCAAGACCAGTGAAAATACATTTTTTGCCAGAGGGTGCTAGGTTACAGGATGTGTATCCATGTCTTCAACAAACAGGGGTGCTTTAGTATATTCCAGCCCTTCTCCCAAAGCTTTGGGGGTACTGTGGCACCCCCTTTTGTTCCTAAGGCTTTGCCTTGAGTAATACCGGGGAGTCAGGTTGGCGCAGTGGTTCTTTCTTCACCTTCTACCTCCACGGTCTGTGTTTGAAACCCGGCCTAATCCACATGTGGATTGAGTTTTTAGTTCCTGATTCTGTGGGTTTTACCTAGAACATTCCTCGGGGTTTTCCTCCCACCTCTAAAACTGTAACTGCTTCTCATTGTCTCCCTTTCTACAGGTTTCTTCAGGCTTACAAGCTACAGTGCCCAGGGCACTTTTGAGGAATCCTTGGTGTCATTGCCAGAAACGATTAAAAATAATAATAAAGCTGGTGTGAGGTTTCCTGATACATGCCTTGCCAACTACATGTACATGATTCAGATCTCAAATGTAGCAGTAAGTCTTACCTGACAAGATAAAACTAGGTTCTGAGCACTGAGGGCATCTGTGACAGTAAAAACAGGCTGTCCATGACATAATGCACTATGCTGCTCAACTCCACTTTCTAACTGCTGCCTAACGTTGGCTAAGGTGATGCAGTCTTGCTGTTTGGGTGATAAATAAGTGAATATTTTCAAGGTCATCGATTTATATTAGAATTTTGTCAAGGGAATTCCAGTATTTGCAAATTTGAAGTCGGGTTTGAATCAGGGACAAATCACGAACAACTCTACAAGTAACTCCGTATACACGTAAATGATGATATTAAAATGTAGATCAATTGCTGATTAAGTAACCATTTTTTGTACCTATTATTTTGCTACATTATAACAAACAGAGGGGTACACTTTTCTGCTAATTTAAATAACTTACTTCGGTATTTATTCTCATGCCACATGCACAGAAAATCACCCCTTTGTTCAACATCAGGGGATTTCTACAACAAAAAAGGACACAAAAACCACTCAAGTTCAGTTTTTTAAAGTAAAAGGAAAGTCTAGCATACACATGATCTTTCAAAACAGATATCTAGTCTTAACACAAACTCTCCATGTCTTTCTTGTCTGACCTGTCAAGCAGAGTTTAATTTCCCCCCCCCCAAAAAAAAGCATTGCAGTAAAGTATTTTGGAATGCAAATCAGAAAATGCTTTTAGTTTCACACATCCTCTGTGGACAGTAAAGAGCAGGGAAAATACTTTATCAAACAATCCTCCTCCCTACATAAATACACACATATAACAGATCAGTTTATCAAGCCACACATCTCTGGTCTCTCAAATCTAACCATTTCTTTATGGCTTCTAACCTTTTGCAAATAGGACAAAGCAGTTCATCAGTGTTAAGCTGTTCCACCGTAGCACTCAATGAGGCTTCAGCTAAGTGTAAACTGGCTTCATATTCTGCAATAATGGCGCCCTCTGTTGTTTGGAAGCATAAAAACACATTTACATGAGAAAAAATGAACAAAAATAAAACAAAGATTACAGAGCATATTTATCAATGCCCGCCAACTTCTAAGCCTAGCATAAACAAAATAAACATAGTTTAAGCAATTTAAATTCATCCTATCATTGCACTGTGACCTAGAGGGGAAAACGGTGAACTGTCTACAAGTATCTGTATATATGCTCCTATTTCAGATTCTGAATACTGCTTCTATGCTGTACACAATGCCCTATTGCTATCACGGTACAGTTGATGGGTTACAGTAACTACAGCAAATGCAATTTTGAAATGGGCCCTTTGAACTAGATTTTCAACATTCACAGCATCCAAGGCTGACTTCAACCTGGAAAGGCTTGAAGCTGTCCAGATTCCATTCTGGAATTGTTCTTGAGTAGAGGGAATACTTGAAACAGGTTGTGCTGAAAGCAGGTTGTGTGAAAGAACGTTGGCAACATACATAGAGCCTACAGGATTGGTGTGAACTGTTGTAACGAAACTGGTGTTGGTTGGTATCAACTCATGATTCCTTATAAACAATGACGAGTCTGATTATGATGCATCTTTCCTCAAGTGTGTCTCCTTGATTTTGAACCAATAAGGATGTGCTTGTCTCACAGCTGTGGTCACTACAAAGCAGTGCCACCCTGGCACCCTCCTTTGAATTTATTCAAGTTTATTAATGTAAGTTTCACAATAAGGATCCCACACAGCATTAAAGCGCAGGCAATTAATGTAACGTCAGCAGCACAGCTGGAAATATATTCTATCATTCTTATTTGTTTTGTTACCGATTCAATTCCTTGTGATGTAAAGAAACACTGTGGCTAAGCAATGGCAACTGAAATTTACATTGACCATCTCAGGGGGTAGGGAGGAAATGTTTCAGTGCACGGCCTAGCTCCCTTCATTCTTAGTCGGAAATGTCTTAATTCCAAGACTTTACCTTCTGCGATTAACTCTCTTTGAAGTTCTTCCATAATGGAAAGAACCACATCGTTATTCAGGTCCTCCAGAAGCTACAGGTTCAGGAAGAAAATAAAGGAAATTACTCAGAGACAAGCGTTAAGGTTTTGTACACCCTGATTTCACATTACATTATATAGTTTATAATCATTCTCTACAACTGAATAAATATACATGTACATGTAGGACCAGTTTGTGATAAAATAAACAGAAACAGTATAAATCATTTAAGATATTCTCCTCAAAAGGAATGTTTTCTTCTTACACCATCATCCATTTGCCCATGTGTTAATTTCATCTCCACTCTTGCCTGTCTCTCTTCCCACTGCATCAGTTTCCATTCCTCTTCCATTAACTCACAAATCACAGATCCTCGGCCTGGACTGGCTCCATCTGCGCTGGCGTCATTCCCGCGGAACTTTTGTAGGAGATTTTCCCTGCTGTTCTTAAGTCTCTCAAAGCATCGCTGAGGACAGGCAGGGCATAAGAATTAAACCTTTTTACCTTCATAAAGGCATTCTACTTTAGAATCAAAGAGTATTAGAAGATAACCATGAGTCGGCTGATGGCAGCATTATCACCATATCATGCGATATTAGGATGTCTAATTAACCTACCCTGATCACACGAAACATCAACACGTCAAGTCAAATAAAAGACTTTTTGTAACACAAAGAAAAAACAGACCTTCAAAATGTGTTACAAAATCTAGGCTGATGAGAAAACCTGGGGGGGAGTGCAAATCTAAAAATTACTTTCAACTGGTGGTTGGCTACTGATAACTGATTAGGGCCTACCCTCTTAAATTATCCTGACGTATATTGGGACTGTCATCATTTCACTGTCATGACTGTCAGTCATACATGTACAAACACGTAGTCATGGTTTATTAGCAACAAGCAACAGAGGCACTAGCCCCCCCCTCCCCCACACGGCTAACTATCATTACCCTATGGCATACGTGTACATGTCGTCATGGCCATGGATACATGGGATAAGCCTAGGCTATGTCATATGTGTACCCTTGAATATGGTCAGGCCATTACAAAGCAAAACCCTTGCTTTTTCTGACTGAAAATCATTACTTCAGGTTTAATTAAAACAACAAGATTTCCATTACCCTTCTGTAAGTATCTCGCCACATACATGACTGAGGACTTGTATTTTTGTACAAATTACGGTGTTTTTCCATGCGCGAAAACGTCGGTGACTTTCCTCTGGGCGTCGCCATTTTGATTAAGCCGCGCCTCGCGGTGAATCATGGGTAAACCATCAATCGCGAAAAAGAGTTGACGGCGCGGATCGTGGAGCTACAAAAGTACAATCCTGAACACATCGCGTTGGAACATGCCTCCCCCCTCGCCCCCTGTCCATGTTGCTTCTCATTGGGTAAATTGGGCCGAATCTTGGTCCAATAAAATGAACGCAACATTGAACGGGGGAGAGGGGGATCTTTGCAACGTGCTTCCCACAAGGTGTTCCAACTATTTTGT